GGGGGGGGGTCTGGCTCCGGACCTCTGCTTACTGCGACTGTTTGGAACAGTACGTCCGATGGGGCAGACTCCCCCCGCTCGAAACAGGCGCCCGAAGCAGCAAAGATCTACTCCACGGAGGGGGGAGGAAAGGGGCTTTGGGAGCCCGCGCCGATCGGCCAAACAAGGAGTACAAGGCACGATCGCAGGAAACGACTCGGGATGAGACACCGATCCCGCGGAAGGGGCCCGGGCTGCGCACGCATATGAGATCAGCGCGAGCCACCTGTGAGCGCCGAGTGGAGAGCGGCGTGGCGTTGCGTCGGCCACGGCGGGCGTGGGCCACGGGCAGGCTCCTGGCGCGGAGCCCGGGAGCGGAGCGGACACTTTGTTAGATTCGCGGGTCGAGAGCGCACCTCTTCCGGTCGAAGCTGAGCGGGCCGCGCGAAGCTTGAGTTAACCAGAGAGGAAGGAGGAAGAGGGGAGGGCGCAGCCTCAGAACGAGGCCGGGAGGAGGCAAAGCCTCGGGATCAGGCGGTGCCGTAGTCGACGTACTTGCAAAGGAGCGCCTTTTCCATGAACCCGGTGGCGGAGCGGAGCGAACACGAGGGCCCCTCCTGAGCCAATAGTGGTCCTTCTTGCAGGGCCTTGGCCGTATGCACAGACGCGCAAGGCGACAGTATGCCCAGAGCCCAGGAGGTCTCGACCCAGTCCCCAGGACCCGATCTTCTTCCCGGGTCGTGTTCTGACCGAGCCCGGGTCCGACCATTGCCAAAAGCGGTCCCCCGTGTTTTCCACGACGCGAGGGGGGCTGGGGACTTGGATCACCGTGGTGGTTGCTCAGCGGATAGGCGAGTTTTAAATGGATGCCAAGGTGGGTTGTATCTGGGCTGACCTAGCTGATGAAAAGGTTGCACGTGCCCTTACTGGCTTAGGGGGTAGACAACTCCGCTAAGTGGGCCGAGCCCACTAAGCCCAGATCTTTACCCACCCCCCTACGCCACTCAGGGCGTTTCCAACCCATCTAGAAATCAAGTTCGGCCAGGTATTATCCGCCTTGGCATCCACTTGTCACCCGCCTATCCACCTAGCTACCACCGCGGTGATCCAGATGGCAGAGGACTGCGAATTTTTGAACAGGGCCTAGGCCGTTCGAGCGACTTTGTCCCGATGTCCTCTTGTGGCTGTTTGTTCTTCCCCCATCTCCATGGTTTCGCTCCTCCAGGCTCTAACTGTCGTTCAGCTGTTCCTGGTGTACTGCGTGTACACCATGTAAACAGCCGCCCCTCCCCCCTGGGGCCCACCTCTGGGTCCAGAATCGGCCCCAGTGGAGGCACGAACGCCGATTCCCTGGCCCCTGCGAGGATGGGCCTAGCTGGTGCACGGCGAGCACTCTCTCGCCGCCTGACCGATCCTGCTGCCCGATCGGTTCCGTCCTCGAGCCTCGATCCTTGATGCCAAGACCCCCTCGCGTGGTGACCAAAAAAGCGACGGACGATTCAGGGCATCTCTCGGCCTCTGGGGGACCTCACTCGGCCTGAGGACCGTCGAGACATGACCCATAATGAAAAGCCAGTCCCGGGGAATGGGGCGAGATCTCTGGAGGCCCACGTCATGCCAGGTGATGACGTCGGGGTCTGGGCCGTTGGAGCCCTTCCACTTTGAAGCCGTCGATCCTTGATCCTCGATGGCTGGCGTCCTCCTCCTGTTCGGCCCGTGGCCCTCGACGATCATCGGCCCTCGATCCTGAAGCTAGGATGGAAAAGCAAATCGAGGATCGACTGCATGACTTTTTCACAACGCACACCCAAGAGGGTCTGGGCTTGTTATCCACCGCCACCACCATAAGTAGGAAAGTAGGAGGGGGAGGGGGTATTCCTCCTCATCCTCCTCATCTCCTTCCTCCTCCTCCTCTTCCTCAACCTCCTTCCCCCATCCAACTTCTGGTGGTGGTGGTGGTGGGAAACAGGCCCACCACTCGCCATCGCTCGGACGTCCATTCCCTGTGTTTTTGTTCGATGTCGTGCGTGGCTTCTTCGCCAAATGATCGAGGATGCTCCTCGATGGCCCTCGCCGACGGAAAAAGGCACACGCCCGAGCGATGCCGAGGCCATGGAGAGCTGTTGCTCACGGCCTCCCGGGTCCAGCGGGGGCCCCACGGATAGCCCGAATGAGGGAAACGACAGCCTTTTGTCCGCCACGGGCCCCGCACGGGCACGGCGTCGGAGCCGCATCGGACTTGACCAACAACACACAGCTTGCCCATAGCCATAGGGGGGTCGGAGAGGGCCTCCGTCGCAGGTGTATTGGGCGTGGCTTCATGGGGGGGTCACAAATGGGGGGGTCAGAAACGGTCCCCTTTCGTGCCCCTTTCGGGCCCCTCTGGAGCCCCAGGGGGCTCGTTTAGGTACCGTTTGGGTACCTTTTCGGACCACCCTCGCCGCCCCCCCATTTATGACCCCCCCATTACGCAACGCCCAAGTGTAGCCGAGACCCAGACATCCGGCGACCTGCTTTTTTCAATGCGCGGCCCCGGAGGTCCCGACAGCTTCGCTGGGGACAGGGCTTCCTTCTTCCTGGCCCGACCTTTCATGACGAACCAACAACACACACCCATACCCATAAGGGGATCGAAGAGGGCTGTGGGTGCGTGTTGTCGGATGGGGGCCCCCGCTCGAACGGGAGCGTTCCCCAGGGTCCGACAACCCGCACCCATACCCCTAGCCAGTCCTCCTCCCAAGGACCCCCCCTGTGGGTATGGGTGTGTGTGTTGTTCGTTCGTCAGAATCGGATTGGCCGCGCCAGGACGCAGAATGGCGCCGTGCAAGCGTCGGGCCGAATCGGATCGAACGGAACTCGGAAGCCAATCGGACCGGGCCAGCCAGGGTCGGCATCGACTCGGATCGATTTGGATCGAACTGGATCCTGCGGGGCGCCTTCTGGTCAGCATCTCGAGGAGAGTCCATCCGCGGTGACGAGGGCTCTCCTTGAGATGAGCCGGCGCTTGCCGCCCGAGGCGCGCAGAGGGCATCCCAAGAAGACCAACAGCAGATCGCGTGAGCATCAGCTCTCGAAGGCCTGTGCGGAGGTCTGGGATCGGCGCTGGACCCCCTCACTGAGGAGCGAACATTGCACACCCGTACCCCTAGGCGGGTCGGAGGGAGGAGGACTGGCTCTGGGTATGGGTGTGGGTTGTCGGACTCCGGGTGGGTTTACCCTTCGAGCGAGGAGCACCAACCGACAACAGGCACGGTTGTGGGTGCGTGTTGTGAAGGGGCCCTGGGACACACAAATAAATGCACACAAATAAAGAGGTTCCCCGTATTTTCCCATTATTTTCTGGGTTTTTGTCCTCCCCCTCCCACTTCCCGTATTTTCCCATACTTCCTGGGAGTCGACGATTAATTGTGTCTGTGTGTTTCTTCCTCTCCTGATGTTGTTCGTTCAGCACTCCCTGGCGCGTGGAGCGCGCCAGGGGCAGCGCCAGAGGCGCCGCCTGCGGTGCCCAGCGCTGGCCCAAGAGCTCTGCGCGGGCCTTCGACAATTTATGCTCAAGCAGCTTTTGCGTCTTCGTCCCACCGCGCGGCCTGCCGTGCTCTGAAAGACGGTGGGCAGGGACAGAGTTGGACAGGGAGGAGTGGGCGAGCAGGGGCGAAGAGGAAGAGGAGCAGGAGGAGCAGAAGGAGGAGGAGGAAGCTGAGGTGGAGGCTGGCGAGGCGGAGAAGGAGGACGCTGAGGTGGAGGCTGAGGAGAAGGAGAATGACGTGTAGGCTGAGGAGGAGGAGGAGGCCCAGCGCAAACCCAAGACTCACCAACGATGCTGCAATCAACCCTCCGTCAAGTTCCTGCTCACGGGTCCGTATGAAGATTTCTTTTCACTGAACTTCCCCCGTTGAAGACAACCATTCAAGAAAATCCTGAACCGTGCCGAAACCCGCCAATCAACATTACAGTTGCGCCCCTACGATCCTGAATCGTGCCAGGACACCATTTCTGGAACTTCAGCACCGCGAATCAACGTTACTGTTGCGCCCTGACAGTCCTACATCGCGCCAAAACAACATCACTGGAACGTGAACCAGAAGAAACCTTGAAACGGCTGAGTCTCAAAACGCATGCGCGCGGCGCTGAAGCGAGGCCCAACTTTGAAGAGGAGCCGCCCTCCATCCATGAAGGTGCTGCAATTCCCCAAAAAATAACGTGCGCGGCGCCAGGGAGATAATCCCAATTTTGAAAAGCGGCCGCCCCCAATCCGTGAAACTCCTGCAACATTTGAAAACCAACGTGCGCGGCGCCAAAGCGAGAACCACATTTTGAAGACCGCCCGCCCTCCACCGATGAAACTGCTGAACGGCGCCGAAGCGAGAACCGCATTTTGAAAACGGCCCGTCCTCCATCCGAGAGATTCTTGCAAACTTTGAAACCGTGCGCGGCTCTAGGGCGCGAACCTCATTTAAAAAACAACTCGCCATCAATGTGTGAAGCTCTTGCAACTTCTAAACTAAAGCATCGTGAGCGGTGAGGAAGTCGCAGGCGCAATGCCCGGCCCATCCTACCAACACGCGACGGGGAGGAGTTACTCTGAAAGATAAGGAACTGAAACGAGGAGGAGGAGACTGATGAGGGGGAGGAGCGAACGACCCCAGAGAAGAAGGCGGCCAAGAACACGAGACGAACGAGGCCCGTCCAAGGGCAAGAGAGACATCCGCTGCTCCTCGCGGGAACTTCCAGACCTCGACGAACACAAATGGCCACGGGTGGAGCGAAGCGAAGAGGATGACGATGAGGAGGGGGAGGAGGAGGAGGCGGAGGAGGAGGACGAGGAAGATGAGGAGGAGGAGGAGGAGGAAAACGAGGGAAATGACGAGGAGGAGGAGAAAGACGAAGAATAAAGAGAGGAGGCGGAGGAGGAGGAGGAGGAGGAGGAGGAGAAAGAGGAGGAGGAGGAGGAGGAGGAGGAGGAGGAAGAGGAGGAGGAGGAGGAGGAGGAGGGGAGGAGGAGAGCACCCCCTCCGCGTGGCCTGCCGTGCTCCTCGCTCGCGGCGCCCAGGCCCGGGAGTCTCGGGGCGTCCGCCGCCGCCAGCGCCCCGCGGCCGTCGCAGCCGCGGTGCTGCTCGGGGGCGCCCCTGCTCGGGGCCATCGCCGGGCCGCCCGCCTGCGCCAGCGGCCCGCGGCCGGGGCCTGCGCCGTCCCTGGCGAGCTGACTGCAACCTTGAGGGGGGGGGGGGTCCCCCTCTTCCACCCTCCTCCCTCCTCCTCCTCCTCCTCCTCCTCCTCCTCCTCCTCCTCCTCCTCCTCCTCCTCCTCCTCCACCCCCCTACCCTCATTCTTTTCCTCCTCCTCCTCCTCGGCCAGAGCGCCTTCCTCCTCCTCGTCCTCGTCCTCCTCCTCCTCTTCCTCCTCCTCCTCCAGACCCTCCTCCCCCTCCTCCTCCTCGCCCTGGCGCGCGTCTCGGCGGAACGCAAAACAAAACCGCCCCACTTGATCTCGGGCTAATTACGTCTTGCCCCATGGCTAGGGGGGCGCGGGCCAGCTGTTCCGGGCAGGGACGGACGGAGGACACCACCTCCAGGATGGCCTTGCGGTGGGCGGAGGGCGGCACTGCGCGCGCCGAGTGGCCGAGCTTCCAGCAACAGGCGAACAACTGTCTGCTGGAGCATGGCGACCTGCGCGTCCTCCGAGCGCGCGCGGGAGTTCGGCGCCCGTCTTCGCGTGTTTGAGCGCGCGCTGGCGGCAGGCACTGTCGCCGCCCAATGGGCGCGCCCAGGAGCTCGACGCAGTCGGCGGAGCGAAGTCGGGCGCTGGACGGGAAGAGGGCTGCGGATGCATTGCTGCCTGCTCCCGCCGCGGTGGCCACATCGCACTGGCCTGGCCCCGCGTTCAGGTCGAGGCCCACTGCGGCGAGCCCTGCCACGACTGGGTGTTGAAGCCAGCCCGGGCCTGCCTGTCGCCCACCGCGCAGCCGTCGTCCAGATAGACAGAATGCGACATCCGCGCCGGCGTTCTGGGCGAGATCCCGCGGGTGGCGGCGCGGCGCCCCCGTGCCTTGGAGTCACGGCGAGAAGAACGGCGGGCCAAGAAGGTCGCCATGATGGACTCCGCACTCGGGGCAAAGCGTCAGCATGCCAAGGAACAGTAATCGAACGCCCCTGGTAATCACACCCGGGGGGAGAATCAAGTTCGGGGATCGGGGGGGATCATACCTTTCTCGCTCCGGCAAGTCGCATGTACTGGGGTACGGATGGGATGCTAGTATAATATAGCGATGTCCCACTCGCTTTGGCGGGGCCTCCTGGGAGGGGTCGCAGGAGCAAGAAACCAGAGAAATACTATTGTATATCGATGACCTGCTCATTCTGACGGGGCCTCTTCGGAGGGATCGGGGGAACACGAAACCTGAACACACGCTCGTGACTGGAAAGGCTGACCCTGGCCTTGCCACACGTTCGTGACTCAGGGAGCTAGAATTGTGAGAACCCCATAGCCCTGCAACACGTTCGTGATCGTGTTGCTGCTCAACATACGAGGACAGAAACTTCGATCGGTACTTTCCCTGGCGATGATGAATTTCGGCCTCGCCGCCCCTTTCTCCTTTGCCCAGGAAAGTCAACTCCCAAGGGTTGAGGAGGGTATACTTTATTATCCGGGGCATGCGGTCTGCGAGGGGTTGCAGCAACACCAGTCTTCCCGTGGTGCGGGAACTGGGGGGCCCCCCGGACACTGCTATCAGAATAGCCCTCTGGTCCACGGCGTCGACAAGGCATCCGAAAGCTCGAACTTCACGAATGATTTGTTCCTATTCCATCGCTTGAGCGCGCACCACTTCGGGAGCGGCCAAGACGGGGGTGTCCAAGAGGGGGGGGTGCAAATCATGACCGGCGGCATGTGCGCGGCCCAGCAGGGGGGCCAGGGACGGAATGAAATAAGAAGAGGCTCCATGACATCTGGGGAAATATCATAACCCACCCCCTAGTCATCACCCCCCTCTTTGCCGCCCCCGACCACTGCCAGGTGCTGTGGGCGGCTGCCGCTGCGCCCCCCCGGGACAGCCGCGCCAACCTGCAGGGGCGCTGGGCGGTCGCTGGCGGGGTCGACGGCCTCCGCGCCGCTGCCGCTGCGACCCCCCCGGACCGCCGCGCCAGCCTGCAGGCGCGCTGGGCGGTCGCTGGCGGGGTCGACGACCTCCGCGCCGGAAGCCCTTGCCCACGTTCGGCGGAATGCTTCGCCCACGGTTGCCGGGCGGAGACCACCGCTGTTTCTCAGAAGGCCACCGGCGAGGCGCTGGCAAAGTGAGCGGCGGCCGCCGACCGAGCCTGGCCGCGGGCGGCCGGGATCATGAGCCCGCAGGGCTGCTCGACGACCTCGTCCCCGAGGGCGACCGTCGCCAGGGAGTCCCGCACATGTAAAGGCAAAGGTCTGTCGGCCCGGCGGCTGAACCCGCGGGGGAAACCCACGCTTCCTCCTCGTAGACGGAAGGGTCGACCTGGTTGCTTGCGGCAGTGGGGGCGGCAGGCAGGCTAGCCATGTCCAGCACGGGACGGAGACGGTCGGTTCCAAAGTCAGCGGCACGCGGTCTTTCTGATAGAGTCCCACGGAGGCCAGTCGAAGAACAATTCTGCTCGGTGGGCTGCCTTGTCCGCTCCCACCGTCTTGCGTCGCTCTGTAGTCTGCACCCACGGCGTCCGCCGCTCTCCCTCCAGCCAGCGTCGGCGGAGTTTCTTGGCTTCTTGCTCGCTTGTGTTCTGGCTGAGTTCGCCGACGCAGTTGTGAGGGCGCCGCGCGCTTTTGGCCTGCATGGCCAACTGGACCCAAGCAGTCTCTGCGCTGTGGTGAGCCGCCGACGTCACGTCCTGCACCGGCCCTGTGTCCTCAACGCTCAGGCCCGTTTGGCACGTGCCAGACGGCCCGCTCCCCAAGACAGACTAAGTTTATTTTCCTTGAGGGTCCTTCCGCAATGACGCAAGCAACTGCTGTCACGAAGCGGGGGGGATGCTGAGACCCATGGGACCACCGCGGGGGTGTGGCTTGGGGGAAATGGGGAAAGGACGCCAATGTGGGCTGTGTATGACCTGACCTGGCTTGTGTGCTGGTCACAGCTGTCCTACAGCGGCTAAGGGCGGCTCTAGATCCGGGGTAAATGGGCACCGCCCAGTTCGCCGAAGTATGGCCCCACCGAGACTACGCAGAGCACTCGTGACTCTCTTCTACGTCAAGCCGGGCCCTACATCTCCCACCCCATCAGCACGAACTCGTGGACCCCCCTTCCTATCCTCTCGGCAACCCCCGCGGTGATCTCGATCGGGGGCTCCTCTCCCTCCCTCCCTCCCTCCTCTCCTGCCCTCCTCCTCTTCCCCCTCTCCTGCCCTCCTCCTCTCCTGCCCTCCTCCTCTCCTGCCCTCCCTCTCGATAAAGGGGCTCCTCTCCCTCCCTCCCTCCTCCTCTCCTGCCCTCCCCGCCCTCCAGCCCGCGGCCTGCCCCCGCGGGCGCTCCACGAGGAGTGGAGGACCGCGAGGCCCCGCCTCCCATGCCGTGCGGTGGCAGGGCCTGGGCCCAAAACGGCGGCGACGAGGGAGACCTCCTCCTCCTCCTCCTCCTCCTCCTCCTCCTCCTCCTCCTCCTCCTCCTCCCAGGCTCTGGGGCCCCAGGGGCCACGACGCCGCGATCCAGGGTGACCCGTCGGTCCCCAGAGTGGTGCCGAGGGGTCCGCGGGCTGCGGACCGACGGCAAAGACAAGACGTCGGAGGAGAGGGGCGGCGACCTCGCAGCTGGAGCGGACCGAGCCATCCGGAGGCTCCTGGCCCACTCTGGGCCTGCGGAGACCCTTGAGGAACTCCAGAGACATCCGGGGTGTCCCTGGCAACCTGGCACAGACACCTCGCCATCGCTCGGACGTCCATTTCTCGTGTATGTTTCGATTTCGTGCGTGTTTTTTCGCCAAATGATCAAGGATGGTCCTCGACGGCCGTCGCCGAGAAAAAAATGCACACGTCCGAGCGATGCCAAGACACCAGACGTCATGACTTTTCATAACGTTGAGCCCCCAGCGGTCTGGGCACATTCCACAGGGCCAGCTCTTCACCCCGAGCCGGTGTTGGATGTTGGATGGTCCCGGGGGCCGGCAGGGGCCCCCAGAGGCCGAAAACAGGGAAGTTCCACAATGCGTTCTGTCATGCTTCGAAGGGGTCTGGGCTGGCGGCAGCGAGCGGCGAAGAGGAGAACACTGGACACGGTCGCGGTGACGGTGACATCGGCGACCGTGGTGCTCTAGGCCGCTGTGCGCTGCGACGCGCGAAGGGCGACGGCGCTGTCGCGCCGACCCCATGGAGGAACCAGGCCTTGGACGCGGCCAGGGGGTCTGAGCTGACTACCTACCTACACGACCACCCTTCGGGTAATAAGGAGGTTGTGGAGGGGGGAGCGAAACCAATGTCTCACTCAAGTGATCCCACTTCAGATATCATCATCGGTCTCGCTGCCGCTCTCACTGTCGACCTCACTATCGATCACACGATCGAGCTCGTTCTATCGATCTCGCTCGATCGATCTAATTCTATCGATTTCACTCTACCGATCTCACCCCAAGCCTCCTACCAAGCCACCCCAACCCAACCCTAAGTCGCCGCTGGGCCTGCCAATTTCCGACGGGGAGGCGTTCTGCAACATCGAGAAAACACCATGGAACCTGTGCGCGCCCCAACCCGAATGTTTGGGGAGTCGGTGATTTTCGGGTTGGGCTGGAGTGGATTAGTAAGTAGCGCGAGCTGGATGGGACCCCCGAACATCGCTCAGGAAGGGGACCCCTCCCGGGGTCCAATCTGGTGCAGCTTGTCACTCCAAGTCCGTTCTTGACGGTCCTGGGGCCCGCGAACGACCCCCCGGTGGCTGAAAAAAACACGAGACCATCCCAGGCCCAGAACCTCGAACCTGCCCGCCCTTCCTGCTGGCTGGAACCAGTGCCGGGCCACCTCAGACACCCAGGCGGCTCCAAAGAAGGGCTCTCTCACCCAGACCGCGCTTCGCGCCGCGCGGTTGGCTTTCGCGCCACTGTAGGTGACCTATTGGCGCACGCGACCTCGGGTGAAGCCTCTTGCTTGCAGAGGGCCGCGGCGACGGTCACCACTGTGCCAGGCGAGCGCGCATCACGACCGCGACGCACGCGGCAAATATGGCAGGAGCCAACAGGGGGATGGGGGCAAGAGCGAACATGGGCAAGACACGCACGGGAGAGGCGGGGAGGATGATATCCTTTGCCCAGACGAGGCTCTGGAGTTGCACGACCCGTGCCAATTCCACAGCCGCAGGTCAGTATTCCTCCAAGCGTTGAGCAGGGACCGACCGTCCCGGCATTCCTATAGTCCTACCACGAAATGTTCTTAGAACCCAAAAATGTTCTAAGAACAGAAACAATGCATGTTCTTAGAACAGATTCCCGATGTGTTAAAACAAGACAGTCCCAGCCAGAAATGTTCTAATAACAGTTCATGGAAGCCACGAAAGGTTCTTGGAACATGGTTTGGTAGGGCCATCGGCGAGCCTGGACGCCTCGCCACTGCTTGAAAGCGGGCGCCGCGGCGAAGGCTTGGGCTGCGGGGCCGCGCCCACAAGCGGGAGAGGCGAGAGGGCGGGCGCGGACGGAATGAAAACCGGGCCCCTCTTTCTCCTCCTCCTCCTCCTCTTCCTCCTCCTCCTCCTACTCATCCCCTCCTCCTCTTCCTCCTCCTCCTCCTCCCCTCCTCCACCTCCCCCTCCTCCCCCTCCTCCTCTTCTTCCTCCCCCTCCCACAGAAAGAATGGGCACAATGCCCAACAACAACTGATGTCCCAAACCAACAGCGGCCGCTGTTGGGTAGGCGGCCTTCTGTCTCAAATGGACACAGGCCGCGGCGGCGCGGACAGCGAGTCCGATTCAAAAGGAACAGGAACTGCCGCTGGACATTGTACCCATTCTTTCCGTACCCATTTCGCTCGTGCAGAGTAACAGCGGAAGCGCAGATTTAGAGAAAGGCACTACCGGCAGCAGCGCAGTATTGGAGAAGGGGGAAACTTCTATACATGAGTTCGGGCTGCTCCAGCGGCTTGACAGGAGGCCACGAGGAACACTCGCAAAAAGCATCCCCAGCGTATCAAACAAAAGGACATTCGAGCCCACGTTTAGGATGTCGCCATGCTTGAGACCGCGCGCGGGGCACCGTTATTAGTGGGGCCGCGGCGACGACCCGTCGTGCACCGCGCACTGCGCACACCTTCGAGGGAGGAGGCGAGGACCGAGGGGGGAGGAGGAGGAGGAGGAGGAGGTGGGGGAGGAGGAGGAGGAGGAGGAGGAGGAGGCGGAGGAGGAGGAGGAGCAACCGACGCGCTGGGGAGAGCGCTCGTCTGTCGATCAGCGGCGCTGCGGCCCCGCGCCGCCCACGAGGCATCGGTGGAGCCTCAAGGCGCGGCGAGCGGCGGCAACAACCTCCTTGTGGTAGATGTAGTCGCTGTAGTCGGCGGGCATGCCGTTCACGTGGCGGACCCGCATGATGTTGTAGCTGCGGTAGGCAACGGCCATGCGCGTTATGGTGCGCTTCGGGTGGTCGGCGATGATGTCGTTCTGGTGGAGGCCCAGGCGCGTGAGGGCATCGCCAGCAGGTCGTCCACGTGGTTGTGCCAAGAGCGCCCACATCCGTGGGCACGAGATGTAGTGGCTGATGTCGCCCGTGCTCTTGGCCTGCAAGTCCTTGTCGCAGCCGAACAAACAGGTCTTCTTGTGAGGGCTGACGTGCATGCGATGCCAGGTCGTCCAAGCGCCTGGCAATGTCTTGACCGCGGGCCAGAAGAGCGATGCCGTGGAGTTCGCCAGGTGGGACCGTAGATGGCGCCAAGCGTGTTCAACACTAGCAGGGAGAGCAGCGCGGCCAAGAAGTCCGTCACGGTCGGAGGTATCGGAGTCCATCATGATGTCGCTGGTGGAGTGGGTGGGAAGCGTGGTGGTGGTCGTAGTTGTAGACGCGGTGTCGCCGTCACCCTGCGGGAAGTTCGGGTTGGTGGCACGCTCGTGTTCGACCCAGCGACGACGGGCACGGTGTTCAGCAGCTTCGTCAGCAAGTTCTCGATGAGTGGTAGTCGACATGCGCTCGCTGTTGTAGATCTCCAGGCGGTGGTTACGAGGGCGGTCAGCTCGATGCCACGCACCGCAACAGATCTCCGTCGCCATGTCACGGCGGGCACTGGCAGACCCGAACTCATCGTCGAGGCTGAAGTGCGCATTGAACTGGGTGCGGTGTAGGACAGCTGTGACGTAGGGGACGCACCAGTCCACCCAGTCATTGAAGTTGTCCATGTCGCGGCCGAAGAACACGCTGGGGATCCATCTCGCTGCCCATGCTTCAGCGCGTTCGTTCAGGTACTTCATGGAGTCGTGGTTGTCATTCCCAGTCGGTTGCTCGGATGTAGAAGGCGCCATTGGAGAGCCACTACCGACAGGAAGTAGTGGGAACCAAGCACGAAGACGAAGATGAATGGTCTTGTGGAAGGAGTCGCGGTACAGCTGACGTTGTAGTTCACGTAGGTCGGCTTGTTGTGGGGAAGTTCGTGATGCGACGCTCGGGGTAGTAGCGCTCGAAGAGATGAGCCCAGCTTGTCTCTGATTAAGTCCGCCAGTCCTGTCACGACAGGGTGTGTGAAGGCCACCAGCCCTGTCACGACTTGGCGCCTGGTAATCGCCAGTCGTGTCACGACTGGGCGCGCAGAGATCATCCGCCTTGTCACGACGGGATGCCTGGGGAGCATGCCGCCCAGCTGCAGCAGCTTGCGCATGAGCTCGTTGAAGTAAACGGGCGGCGTTTACCGTAGAGCCTGTGGAACGCGTGAGAGTCTTGAAGACGGAGCCTTTGCCTGTCACGATCAGCTTGTTGTGGTAAGTGGCGTCGAAGCGCTGAACAATGGAAGTGGCGTCAATCCAACATGAGGCAGACCAGCTGCCAGCCACAACGTCGCATCGTAGGAGGGGGTCTTCAGCATGAGCACGGAGCTCATGAAGTAGAGGCTGCCAGCCAGGAGTGGTCGTTGTGGAGGCGTGCCACATAGTCGCAGCAAGAAGCGTTTCGATGCCCTGCGGGATCGTGGCGGACGCCCACAGCGTGAACGACAGGATGTCCATGTTCGTGAAGCCCGAGGGGGCAGCACGGATCAACTTGTGGAGGCCATGACTCTCCTTGGACAGGAATGCTTGGGCTGGCGGGTAGAGCTGGCCCACGTACGAGAGACAGGTGATGGCAGCGGAGTTGTACATCTTGATGCTCTGCTGGCTGGGAGCGTTGGAGTCGCGCAGAATCTGAATGCGTTCCCACCACTTGTTGGCAGGTCCTTGCCATTGACGGTCAAGAGATGCGCCAGGGCCGATGTGCACGCCGAGGTATCGCGCAAAGCTGTTGATGGAGAAAGCTTGCCACGGCTCGTGGATCTGGGTCAGAATAGCACGCGTGTTCGCGGTGATCTCGGGCGTCGGCAGGGGCCAGGTGGGCACGAGGATGCACTTCTTCGGTTGGAGGCGGAGGCCAGCGTAGT